TATCTCCACGGAGCAGATTGAAATTACTCCAACAGGAGTTTGGTAGTGTAGCCCATAGTTAACCCTCACCTGAAGTGGCATAACTTTGAGATGCTCAGAGGGCACTTAGCACGAGTTAAGTAGCAGATGGGTGTTAGCTCCCTGGCATGTGGGCCTGTTTCAACACTGCAAAGTGACTATAGAGACAGTACTCCTAGCAGCTGAAGGACCTCAGGATTCAATAGGCAAGAGAGAAATTGTGGTAGAATAGCATTTTACTTTTTAAGTATCCTCAGTGATGAAAGAGGAGGGACATATGAACATATGGAGCTTCCATAGCTTACGAACTCCTCTGGTAGAGAGATTCATTTGCTTTCATGTGCCTGCTTTCTTATTTTTGTTTCAAATGAAGTGAGAAGGCCCCTTTTATGCTATCCATTGTAGGTGGGCTTGCCTAACACTTAAAAATAAAAGCATAGGCATCTTGGTGCCATGGCTTCACAAAATGTAAAGAAAATTCAAACCATAAAAACAGAATCCTTATCTCTGAAATGTATGCTCACTCCTTTCATATTACGAATCACCAAAAGCCTCCTCCATACCTCCTAGCCACTCCTTGCAGTAACTGCAAGCCCAGAGAACAGACCTCCAGCATTGCACTAGTATTAAATAATAGTGTTTGTTAAATGCTGCTTCTTCCTTTTCCAATTCCCTACACAAAGCATCCTCCCAACAGTCTCCTCTTGTACAGGGCACTGCCTCTGGTTGCTCCCTACTCATCCCTTCACACAGTTGTCTTGAACAATAAAAATGTAACCTCAAATTACTTATTCTGCCTCTAATATCAAGCAGAAGCCTACAGCTGTTTTAATAGCCACCTTTGGAGAAGTGACCCACCCCTAAAACCATAAGAACTCTTAAGCAAATTTCTGCAGAAGTAGCTCTAGCTACGAACATGACAAGGCATTCTTCTCTAAACTAATTAGGAGTGAATTATTTTAGCCTGTGCATACACACACATCCTGGCTGTGCTTCATGCCTCTGAACTAGAGATGGGAGACTGCCTGGAGTGCACTCATGCTCCTGAGAAGGTTCTTAGGGGCCTGGTTGGTAGGACTTGCTCACAGGCTTAGGGATAAATCTGGTGATGAGGTTAGGGGCAGGAAGGAATTGCCTTCTAGGGCAAATTGGCAGGAATGTTGTTGTTTTTTTGCCATCCCCTGTAGCATGGGGCATGGCACTATTTCTTAGATCAAGGCATTTGTGGCCTCATGGTTTTTCCCCCACTTTTCCTGAAGATGCATCACAGTTTCTTTTGATTACTGCTCTCTGCACTACAGTTGCTAGGTCTGTCATGGGGTGCTTTGTGCCCAAAATAGGCCAGAACAGATGTTCTCATGGACACACATGAATGCTTGCAATAGCAGGGGACAGGATTGGCTTATGTTGTTCCTTCCAGTTCTACATTTCTAACCATTAGGCACCTTAGAGACAGCAACATAGACAGCCCCCTTAGTGCAGAAGACAATAATCAAGTATTTAGGGCTTAGTCTTTGAAAGTGGTTTCACCTGTTGGTAAGAGCTATGTTTTTACAAAATTGACATATGGATGCAAACATTTGGATATTAACTCTACCTATTTCCTGTCACATTATTATTGCAGGTGAACTTACATGGCAGGTCAGTCTTCTCTACAGCTTCAGAGTTTGAAAAAGGAAGATCACTGGGCTACAAAGGATCATTTCTAGCAATTTACCAAGTTTTTATAACTGACTGACAGTTCCTGCTTACTTATTTCACTGAAAGAGTGGATGGCTTGTCAAGGCAATCCCCTCTTGAAAAGGTCTCTGCTTGCTTTAACCACACATCGGGTGGGTTTAGTTATTTACCACCCATATTTAAATTAGTCTCAAATTGTGCTAGAAATAGCTACATTGTAAACTGTAATATTTTGTTTTTATGCAAAGACAAGCTATTTGCTGGCTCAAAAGACACTGTATTCAATCTCATTGTGAAACTGGTCCCCATCTTTCAAACCAAACCAGACTGGAAAATGCCTACCTGGAATAAGGATCTCAAATTTTGTAATATGTAAGGATTATAAACAGGATGTCACTGGTATTCTTACCCACAAGCAAACAGCAGAGCTGCCATTTGCCATTAGAGCCAATGTTTTTTACCTTGCAATCTCATGGTGTAAAATCTCCAAGATCAGGGCTCTATTTATGGTTTCATGTCATAAGTCAGCTTCAATAATCAGTTTATAAAGCAAAGACCCTTTCTGACTGGAGACCTTACATCAATACCTGTACATGTCAGGGAAATAGCTTTTAAAAAAACCAAAAACAGAAAAAAACCCAATTCATACAAGCTGGGATTTTCAAACAAGCTTCAACTGAAACATGTGACTGAAAAATAATCATCACAGCAAAGAGCCTGGAGATATAGGGTACATAGTGATGCCTATCATTTCACTTGAAATTCTGTCATCTCCTGCATTTGTAATTGTAACCCTGAAAACACCCACTCAGTGCTCTCACTTCAGAGAATGGACTGCTAGATCAGCGAGGGCCAACCGTTTTTGGCAGGTGCGCCACAAATTAGCCCAGTCTCCCAAATGCCATCCCAATCCCCCTCCTCTACTTAATATGCTGCTTTTCTTTGTTCCCTATTCTATGCTCCCTGCCCAATCTACACTCTTTCTGCCCTGTACACAGTCCGATTTCCTGTTCTGCCTTCTGCTGCAGTGCTGCCTGTCCCTTCCCCAATCACTATGTGCCCTATACCACTTGTGGCACTCATGGCATAGGTTGGCCACCCCTGTGCTAGATAGAGGAAAAACAGAGGCAGAACCCAAGTAACCGTAGCCAACAGACTCTAAGCTCAACTCTGAAATCAGCTGATGTTTGTTATCTGCTCTTGTTACTTTCATTTCCTGGCACAGAACAGGCCACCTGGGTTATCAAATGCAGGCATCTGCTGTGGCAAGTAAATTGTATCATGCCATTTACTCCATTTGAGCTGTCAACATTGATGAACTATTTACACTGAGGAAACAGTCCAGAGAACCAGAATTCACTTTGAGATAATTTGTGTCCATTCTCTAGGAAGGCAAGCCCTTACTGTGACTGAGATGAACACATTTATGAGCAAGAGTTGAAAAACCCGAAGATTGTTCCTTCCTAGCTATACTATGCCCAGTGTCACTTAGAAAAAAAGTGCATACAGACAGTCACTTTGCAAGATAAACATCGTAGACTTCCTTCTATGAAAGGCCACATGTAGTTTTATTGTAACTGCAAAAAAGTCAAAGAGTAATTGATTGCTATTTGTTTAGAATCCTCTGGATGGTGAAAGTCAGAATGGAAAAAAGTAGTGAAGTTTTCAAAGCTAAAGAATCAATCAATCCATCCTTTGAGTAACAAATAGGTTTCTCAGATTAGCTAGTGGACTTACAGGTCTGTCTTGCTGGACTACACTAACTCAACTAGCTGTATTCATTAAAAAAAAAAAGAAGTCCTCAAAGTGACACTCCCAGAAGTGTAAACTGTGACAACCAAATCAGTGAGAAGGCAATTCCATCCCATTTTAAGCCAGAGTCAGTGACTAGTGTGTATTGCCCTCTATCCAAAAGTTTGCAGCTATTTGTCGAGTATACCATTCCTATGACAATTGATGGAGATATCCTAACAAAGAGCCAACTTGCCACTTTTTTTATTCAACCTTTATTTTCACATTCAGATAAAAACAAACCATTTTTTTAAAAAGATTGCTAGTCCACTATTTTGTGATTATATATAAAGTGCATTTTACCTTGAACGTCGTGTACAAAAATATTTAAAAAAACAAAACAAAACATGCAAAATCATCACAAGGCACTTCCAGACATAGAATTGAGAGACTGCTGTCCTCTTTCTACATTCACATTGGCAGAAGGAAAGGATCAAGGATTGGAGCAGGGGGGAGGCAGGGAAGGAAAACAGGGCAGGACCCAAGATATTACCTTAAAAATAAAAATAAAAGACCACCACTGGTCAGAGTCAGTTCCCAGCACAATATTGGATTTGTATGGCATTAACATCACAGCTTTATGCATTTTATGTACAACAGTATATGCTTGTTTCATTTCTTTGGAACTACAAACTCCTCAATTATGCCAATACAGGGAAATAAAAGCACACCACTATCCATGGCACTAGAGACTCATAAGACTGCTGCATTTTAGGGTTTGACTTAAGTGTTATTTCTAGGTAGTATTAGAACATAACTCCATTGAGTTTTTTAGTTTATTATCTAAAATGCTCTAACACCACACTTCTAAATTCTAGGCAAGGTAAACCCTTTAATTATTGTGCCCAGCTTCTGCAGTCTAAACATAGTTTTAAGTTAGGCTTGGTGAAGGTCTTTACAAAAGACAATTTTATGAAGGACTTTATTTAACCTCTCAAAAAAAGTCACAAAAGCTTTTCCAAACTAGTGAATGAAGTCTGTTGAACTTTGGTTTTCATATATACACACACAGCTATTTTAATACCTGAAGTTAGTGATTTGTAGCATAAAAATGCTGTCCAACCCCCCCTTATTGATGTAAAGATAAAAAAGGATGCTCTCTCCCTACAAGAGCTATCTGTTTTTTCATAACTATTTTATTAGAAGTTGGATGCATCTTCTCCTCAGTTATGGTATGGCAGTTTAGAAGTACTTTGTACCATGGTATCCAAAAACTGAAGAGCTATTTGGAAAGAGAGAGAGAGAGAGAGATGAGATTTTCAGTTGTGGAGAATAGCAAGAGACATCTGCTTCTCCACAAGCACACCAACATTAGCATCACATATCTAAAGCTATGCACTAGCAAAGTTGAATGTCTTGAAATACCTTTAAACCTTATTTTATTTACTCCATTTAAACATATAAATTAAGTTATTTCGTTTGACTAGCAAGTCAGCTGTTTAAATGATTGCAGCCAGTATTTTTGCCACATCCTGCTTGGCAGTATGGGATTAATTTTGAATTTTTTTTTTTAAATGCTGAAATAAAAGAGTCAAGGATCTCTATCTGTAGCAACAAGATCTCCCTTTCAGTAGTGGAAGAATGATGCCATCTTATGCCTTAGAGAGAACTACTGTTCATTCTTGGATTAGAGTCCATCCTTCTCTCAGCCCGTTTTTGAGCAGAAGTCCATTTCTTACCAAAATAGCATTGAAGGGAAATGTATGCACAAGATTAAAGTTGTGAAAGCTACTACAAGTTTAATACAAGACACAGGTGTGACAACTAAGCATGTCTTCTGTGCAAGTCTGCTCTTCTACCAAGTGAACCCATTTCAGTTTGAAAGTTATGCACAAAAAGCTACACACTCCTTCTAGTGTGAGACCAGGGAGCACCACAGCTCTGGGCTTGAATTAAAAAGACTGCCAAAACTTTTTTTTTCCTTCAGAGAGCTAGGAGTAACCTTTCAGAAACTTATGTATTTCAAGCCACAGCTGTGGTTACATTCAAGAAAGATGCTCTTAGCCAAGGCACTCACACCACAGGAGGAAGTTAGTTTTAGTAATGAATCATCTTGACAGACATGGCAGAAAGCAGCGGAGGTGGTTTATCCCATTAACCCACAGAGAAACCTGCAAATATTCACATACGATGCATGAACCCATTGGCACCAAGTTCTGGACAAGACTGAAAATTAACTTTCAGTCTTGTTCAGACTTTTTAGTGCCAGCAACAGGAGCTATTCCACTCCCCATGCTTGATAAGGCAAATAGTCAATAGTAACATGTATTGACAACAGAATGGGGATATTTTACCTCCTCTTATTTAAAAAGAAAAGAAAGGACTTTGGAATACTTGAGTCAAAGACTTAACCCTAGAGTGACAAGGTTACAGGACAGCTCTACCAGGAGGGGAAGGAAAAAACAACCCACCTTCCACTTATTACACAAAAAAGTTTTTAATAAAATTCCTAGAGTAGTTAGTGACCAAGTGCACCAAGTCTCCATTTAGGAGAAAGATTTCTCTCTTAATGCAGCACAAAGCAAGGCTGTTTTTCCCTTTTAGTCACAGTTGCACTATAATTTCTAAAATGTCCATCTAAGGCTAAAAGAATCCAGCCAAAGGAACAAGGGGGGGGGGGGG